CTGGTGCCAAAGCCATTTGCACATACAATCTTTTGAAACACATACTTCGAAAAATGACCTTGGAATGAAAGTTAGATATTGCAATATAGACACAACAAGTTTATTTTCTTTATCCATAGCCAGGACATGAGATGTACATAGCCTTCAAGGAAAATACAGATTTTGGTACAGATTTTGGAGATTTTGGCTCTGCGACATTGCCAAAAATGTTGAAGCAGAAGGTTGTTTATTATCTTCAGTTAAAACAATAACTCAGGAGTAAGAAGTAACTTTACCTAGGACATTTCTCATTTTCTATTTGAAATTAAGCTACAGATCTGTTTTTCAAAGGCTGATCGAAGCACAGGGTATAAACAAACATTCCCTTGCATGCTAACTAGAGAAGAAATGTTTCACTTTGTTCTAGCTCATTCATCCTCTGAGACAGCTCAACAGAACTATGTCAGGAATTTAACTTTACCTTGTATGCCCAGAACTTGCTTTCCTGAAGTACAGTTCTGCTGCGGCACTTCTGTGAGGACACGAACTCCTGACCCTTGGATTTCAGTCACACTAGAAAAGCACAAGAGGAGATTAAATCACCAGCAAAATGAAATTATTAAAAATACCTAACTCTCAGTTCTAAGCATTATGGAGACAATCTGACTGCAGATAAAATCCTTGCAAGTTGATTAGAAAGTTACATATTCACTATTGGGTTTTCTTTTTTGCATTAAGATTATACGGGTATTCAAGGAAATCTCAGTCACAGAAACAAGATCTCATTTGTAATATAAATATCTATTGTACTATCATATTCAGTGAAGCTCTGCATTTCATAGTGGGTCAGTGTCTGCTGAGAGTATGACGTAGCACAAAACAGTGGTAAACAAAATCTCTGATGGCAGTCTGTCAGTTAATTGCACAAATGGCCCTTGTGATACAGGATTCAGAAAAACCTGAAGAATGAGAATTTTCCAGCCCCTTATGTGTTTGTGCACATTTGCCAGAGTAAGGATTAAGCACACTTCTGTACAGGGTATGTGGGCCGCCCTTCAATTCTGTGCTCTTCCATCTGCTAAATTGCAGGACCAAGGTCCAACCAGTCACTTCTACACTGTAAAACAGCTGGTAATTCTTGGAGATAAAATGTGACAACACAAAATGCAATTACAACTGCATCCAACTAACAGTGCAATGCTTTTCCTCCAGCATGTACTGCTGCCCCTGCATTCTTCCCCCTCCCCAGATATTTCGGTACCTGCCTATCTACCATGACATCTGGTTGATGACTAGACCTTCGAGTCATCCAGACCAGATCAATATTTGATACTCGTAAAGACCAACATGGGAAAGCAGCATCTCTAGGTGTTTTCCTAGCCTCTGGCAAGCAATAAAATGCAACGTTCACTTTGAACAGCCTCAGCAGCCATGGCTGGGAATTGCTGCCCTTTGGGCACTTTAATCTTGGGCACTTTGTTCCAGATTTGCCAGCAATCAGGGCTTGATTTAGGCTACTTCTCTTCAGGCATGAGGCCGTAAAGTATCTACCTGCTGGCTTCCTGTCATCTATCATTTAGCAGGAGAGAGGATAAAAAGGCTCAGAGAAGCTCCAGTTTTCTCACCAGGTTTAAGCATGAAAACAGGGCAATGCACTGAACTTTTCTTACTAAAGCTTTGACAGAAAACAACATTTGAATGCTTTTGAAGAAGAGAATGTAATAAAACAAAGAACAATGCCTATGGTATCTACTCTGAAAGACAGATCTCATCTGAATGGAAAACAAACCATTGAAGGCAGGGCAATGCCATGAGAACAAGCAATCCCTCCTTTTATTGCTTCAGAAGCCACCTGAAATGGCTTGGTGGCCCAGCCAAAACCCACTCTGCCGCAGCACATCGGAGCGTGGCTCATCACTAGGGCAACAACATTTATATTTAGAGGAAATGAGGGGATTTGATCCTCTCAGGAGATGCAGAAGACACACTTTCTAGTTGAAAAGCTAGCAGGGAGAAGGCAGTCCAACGGGCAATCTGCTGACACCTATCTCAGCACAGTCCTCCATGGCGTAATTTCACTATCGCTTCATAGCACGGGAGACCTTGAACACAGCAAAGCTCGTGCTGTTCCCTGGAGAAGGGACGAGAAAGATGGGACTTGTCAACAGTGGGCATGAAAGGAAATTCTTGACAGAAGGTTGGAAAGAAGCCAAACCAGTAGAGCAGCAGAGGAGAAGGCAGCCCAGATGCATGGATCCCCTTACATCCATGACGCTCCTCAGCAGTGGGGTGGCTCAGCAGTGAAACCACTGGAGACTCGCAGCTCCAGCAAACAGCCAAGCCCTTAATACCTGGGGCTGTGGGACAAGGATTCTCCGTGAGTATTCTGTTTTCTGTAGGAAACCTTTCGTTTCACTGAGGCTGGCTGGTGGGACCACATGTTACAGCTGGAAAGGCACAGTCTGGGATTTACAGCTCCTGCAGGGAAAGGCTCAGCTTTGTAAAAATGTCTCAACATTACCACGTAGTGAAGAATCAGGGTGCGATCAAGATACAGCTGATGATGGACCTGACCACGATGCTGTGCGTGCTCCGGTACAGCAGCACATGCCCCATGGCCGACATGAGAAAAGACGACACAAATGTAACACAGCAAGGAGGATGCTGCTGCCTCGATGGCAGCCATGTCATCCAACTTGCGACATACAACTTCAGTTCTCGCGCTCAAGTTGAACACTGATGATGATATTTCTCTTGTTCTTCATAGAGGCATCCAGTGCCTGCACCCTGTGTGGCCCCTTCTCCTTTCTCAAAAAAAGCCAAACAATAATAAAACCAGCAAATACATAATAGTGTTACCTCATGACTTTTTGGCCTTGAATAGAAGATCTTTCAACCTGTGGCTGTTACAGGCCATCGCGTGTGATTCTTGGAAACATTCAGTAGTGCATGAACTGAAAAGCAGTTCTTGTAACACCAGCTTTGGCTTCTTACTATGCAAATGTGTTTCTTCAGCAAACACCACATTTCCTGGGCAAGAAATGATATAAATATTGGCTAACAGTGTCATAGCACCACAGCTTTGCAGATACTGGCCGCACTTAGAAGTCTGACGTATCTGTGCTAATAAAAGCAGTACAGCGTTCCTGCTTCTGTCCCCATGCAAGGTGGCACACTTCAGAAGTAACGCTCCACTGCGATCCGGGAAACTACAGCGGTGCTGCTGGACGCAGCAGGCAGAGCACTGGGTGCACGCAGCATGCACGGAATGTCAGTTGATCTGATTCTGATGTCATGACAGTTGGTACAACAGCGCTCCGCAGTACCTGAACATGAAGCTCACGTCTGAGAAGTGACACCTCTGACTTCAAAAAATAGCAGGCTGTGGAGTTTTGAGTTGATCTTGTCTTCTAGATATATCATGACTTTTTAGAGTATATTTTTGCCTATGCCAGAAAAGAGACAATGAAGTTTGGCCCATCTTCTTCATTTCAAGGAGCCTTCATGAATACAGTAACTTCAAAACCAAAATGAAAATAAATAACCTACTTCAGGGCCCAAAAAGCAAATGCCACGTTTATCCTGTGTGCCGTTATCACTGCTGATAGCTGTGACACCAGAGACACAACCAAGCATTGCCACGTCTCGTGCGGTCTCCAGAGCACAGGGTCCCGAGCAAGGCGCCCTGACACAGACATATCCAGAGGAGCCGCTGTCAGGGCTCCGCTCAGCGCAGGTCCCAGTGCCTGGTCAGGATCCAAGTGCCTGGTTTCAGATCTTACCAGTTGTAAACTAGCCAACTGACAATTTAGAACATAGTACAGCATAAAAAGTATTTCATACAGCGCAAAAGATCTTTGGATCACAGTCAAGTGTAGAATAGGAGGAAGCTAAGGAAATGCTTGAGCTCAAAAGGCTGGAAATGTCCTTGCTCTTGAGAGGTGAAGGGTGGTATCTGGTGAAGTCAGCAGAGCTTTGAGGACATCCACCCTCTTTGGCCAAAGCGCCTAGAGATCATCCACGTTCATCCTCGATGCAGAGCTGACACTGGGCAGGTCGCTGGGCTCCGAGATCGGGGCACCCGAGCTGAGCAGAGTTAAACCCCAGGTCAGAATCTCAGCTCGTCACTTCGGTAACTGTTGACGTGTGAAGTTTTATGTCTATCTGTTTCTCCATTTCACCACAAAGTGGCACTACAGCAATTGCCATTCATTTCAGTCACAGGATGATCAAGAACCTGGGACAGACGGCTCTTTTTTTCCCCTCCCTGCACTGAGTCACCACTAATTACCCTCTGCTCACACGATAACAACCCCTACAGAGGGTTCGCTTTGTGCAGGAACCATTTAGATGGGAGTTTCCTCCCTCATTGAGGTGGTGAAACAGTTTCTTGCAGTACCTTCTGCTGGGTCCATCTTCCAGCATTTGGCTGATCTGAACTAACAACAAGTAAAATGATACAATTGCTTTAGCAGAAATGTAAAGTATCAAAGTGACCAGTTACTGAGCCGTGGAAACGCAGCTCTGGGAGAAAAACAAGAGCAGCAAGAGTCCCTCAAAATCCAGTGCACTTTTCTCCTCTGAAGACTTCATGGTTTGGGCCCACTGAAACTCTTGCAAAGATCTCCACTGATGTTAGCATCAGATAAAGCTTAATATGCTTAGCCTTGCCGTGTTCTAACGGGTAGTGCTTAGCATTTGTGCTGTAAGAACAGAGCAACACACGCTTTTGCCTTCAGCCTAACCATCAGAAGTTTTACCCACTCACAAAACAACGCCAAAGGCAGGTAGAGCATCCTCTGGTTTTTAACTCTCTCTCCCGCTCTCTGTGCACGTGCACGTACATATACACGTACGCAAACACACAACCTCACTGCGTGGCTTAGCTCCCCTCCTGCTGTACCTGCAGGTGCCATCAGGTCTGGCGCTTGCTGGCGGTAAGGAACACTGTCCCACCCTGTGCTGTGAGGAAGCAGCATCACTGCAACGCGCTGACCAAGGACAGATGCCTGGGAGCTTACCACAAAGAAGGGAAAACCAGAAAGATCCTCATATCCACGCCGTAGACCTGCCAACACGTGGATGCAGCGGCTGCGGCCCGCACACTGTACAGCAACGCCGAGCGGCACTCAGGGGTCCCGCTGCTGGCACTGCAGCCGTGCTGCGGCAAGGGAGGACTGCCGTCCCGGGCACCGCGGCACGCCGCTCCACTGGACCGCTGCGCGTGAGAACGTGCCTGTGCAGGGCCACGACACGTGGCCACACAGACATACCCAGCCAGCACTGGCAGCAGCACAGCCGTGGAAATGCAGAGCTCAAGAAGGGCTCTGTCCTACAGGCACCCAGCACAATGAATTTAAAGCTGTTTCTATTTTAACCGCACTACTGACATGCTTTACGTCCACTGGCAGTCTAAAACCTCTCCTTCTGCCCTCGTGCTGGACTCCCTGTGGAAAACCCAAGGAGCACAGGATTTGTTTACGAAACACTGGTACCAGGGCTGTGCCACATTAGACTCCCTTCTACCAGAAGAAACCCTGTACTGGTAGGGCTGTCAGAGGCTGTGCAACGCCAACTGCTAAAGGCCGTCAGCCGGAATCACCCCAAAACTGAGGGAAAAAAGTGTGATTTCTGAAACAGTCAAACCCATAATACCTTTGTCCTTACTCATCTCCAGTTTCAAGGCTATGATTGAGCAGTCTTCCTAGAAGAGCTTCCCAGCAATCCCAGGTTTATTGGCAGTTGTGAGCTCCCTGGTACATCCATTGGGAATTTACCCTCCTCCAGCTCTCCTCACACAGGCCAGCTCCCCTGACCTGCATCCAGACACGCTATATTGCCACAGCGAGCATTATCTGTTTGGCTGAGCCCACCCGCTCCTCTCTTGCCTTCCTCACTACCCATAGCTGGAGATACAGCTGGCTCTAGCAGTCCTGCTCCCCCAGGCCAGCTGGCAAACATCCCCCCCTACCAGCCCGCAGTTATCTTCTCCCTCTCATCCAAGAATGGGTGTAGGGATGATTTGCTGCCACTGACATGCTGCTGCTCTCAGCAGCTGCCTGCCCTGTCTGCGAGCTGGAGCCAGCCTTGCCTTGCAGTGTGATGCAGTCAGGGCTTGGCTGGGGGACCACAGCAACGAAGAAATCGTGATCCCAGTCCTAATCTCACTGCAGTCGCCAGAAAATAGCCCCCAGCTGCAGGGGGGGGAAGCAGTGGAGCAAGAACTAAAGGAACTAAAAAGGGAATGGAGCAAAGGGGCAGAGAGAAGCAGCCAGTCACTCTCAGAAAAAGTTCCCAATAAAAGGAAGAGTTCACACAAAGAAGAACCCAGAAATATGCCAGGTTTTTCAATTGCATGAGAGCCCTCCAGCTGGGCAGCGGGAGGAGCAGAGAAGTCACCCAGCATCATTACTGCGGAGTTCAACGGGGAAAACCAAAGCCAAAGCAAAAGCAAGTGCTGCCCAGGCAGCACAGCAAGGACTTCACCCGACAGCCTCTTTCTATACACTACCCTTTGGGAAAGCTCCCCTTTAATGAATCTTGGAACAATTAGCAGAGTTTAGAGATTTGTAGCTTGCTGGCTGTGTGCAATCCCCAACTGCCCAGCTGGGTGTTGACTTCTCTTCCGCTGGCAGAGGGGGACTATCCCCATAGCAGTAACACAGCCATATGCGTAAGGTACGCTTTTGAGTAGGTAGGAAAGCGCTGTACAGAAGAGGGCCATAGACAGTGTTCAGAGCTGGTTCGTTACTGATCTATGAACAGGTTGGAAGCTCAATCAGTTTTATGGTATTAACCATGTTATTGTAGTAAAGAATCCATTTTTGCTATGTATGAGTAAAGAGAGTGCAAGCTGGCCCTAGCTACTCAGGACAACACAGAGTCTGAAATAAAATCAAATTGCTTTTGATGCTCAGGCAGCTAACTACTAGCTCACACTCCCTCTTTCTAGAGCTCACTGCTTTAATAGTTCCTGTTACACCATCGCTAGTGGCAATTTACCCTCAACCAGTCATTTTCTAATTGCATTTGACTAAGATCCATGGTTAGCGATACATTATGATGATAGTGTTATGACAAATTGGTATAAAATAATTCTGTGAAAATGAAAGCTTATCTCTCAATAGGAAGAAAAGCCCACTATTAAAATAAACCCATTAAATGTATGTATTTAAACAGAAATCATTTTCAGATAAATCAGGAAATTTAAAAATTTATAAATAAGGCAGGTATGAGAAAAGAGGAATATAAGGCCTATATACACTAAGAAGATCATTTAAAACTCAGTTGTTAATACAGAATTAATGACCAAACAGTCTTATGAAACACTACTGGCCAGTAAAACCTGAAGGGGCGGGTATTTATACAAAATCTCTGCTGGAAAAAATATGCCAATGCAATTTCTAACACTGTCAGTAACAGGCAATAGAGTGCCTTTCCAAAGTGAAACAGGAGCCAAAAGATCTCGTCTAGGTGACCGGCCTTTTGATCAGACTATTCTGGTTTGTGAATCACATTACTGATTAGTCAGAAGAGTGTATCTGCTACTTACAGGAGAAACAGAATGTATGTTCAACTGACTGTGGGAAAAAAGTCCTCCGTCAAGCTCTGGGAAGGCAGCAGGCAGAAAGACAGGAACGCTCCGGGGCTGGTGATGGTTTCTCTGGGCAGCTTCTGCACGGCACCTCGCAAGCTAGCTACCATGTCCGTTACTGAGTCTTGCTGGATCCCGTCTGACAAAAATAATGAGAGTAATAAACATTACAGATTAAAAGACAGTTATTAACTAAGGAAAAGTGCTGCGTCTGACTACTACATCTGTTTACTGTCCTCTGAGCTAAAGCAACTGCCCTGCAGATAGTTCAGAAATGTTACAACAATTTCTGCCTGAGCAACATGTAAGAACATGTCTGAACACACTCTAGACTTACCACTGAAAATGCTCTAAAATCAGTCTGAGACAGAGAGAATGAGGGAACCAACAGAGTTCATCAACAAAATGCAATATATTTCATGCCACATCGCGTTCTTCTAATGCTTTAACTCGCTCTGAAAAATATGAGCTCATCCTTTAAGAAATCTGGGGTGCAGACCTTTGAAATGACCAAAGTGTTTAAAACAGAAGATGCCTTGTGTGGGCTCATCCTCCCAGACTGCAGTTAGAATACAGAAACACAAACGGAGCCGTCTCGTTATGAATGAAATCTAAGTCTGAAACTGAAAGGTGAAATAACCGGTAAGGCAAGAGGGAAACAAACTGTTATTTCTGAGGTTTATCAAGGAAGAACAAAGTACAACTGCTTGTTCAACCTTACTATTTAATTATTTCATACACCTCTGTGACATACACAGGACTTCGAAAACCAGCAATGCATTGCACTGTACATGTAAGGAACGTGACCAACTGACCCTGTGCCGCACCATGCTCGGTCGGAAAACCTGGCTTGCTCGAGATGCAACCTCCACCACGCGTCCCCGCGCACCCCACTGCCTAGCTGCAGGTGTCACCAGGACCGGAGTCGGCAGTGCCGACTTCAGGCACAGACAGACTGCTCGAGGTCCCGTGCTGGGCAGGCCACAGGCTCCACGGCTCAGATCCCGGGCACCATCTGACTGCCTCTGTGTGGCTCCCATGCAGCAGGGCGAAATTCGGCGCGCACGGCTGGGTGGGCATCTGCCCCTCGACGTCTGCTGTGGGTGCAGCCCGGTGCCGTGCAGAAACAGCCTCCCAGTGAGGAGTCCTGTGGAACGTCTTCCAGTTGAAAGCAAACTGCAGTAAGTCTCGACAAACCCTGCTTGGAGCAAAGCGCTGTATTGCAGCAACCCGCCTGCGGGCTACAGGAGAAACCTTCACTCCCAGCTAATTTGGCTTTTCGGGTTTCAGATGCCAGATGTTAGTTTTATACTTTTGTACATTTGGATGCAAAATGGACATATGTGTCACATAATTGCGGCCTTGCTTGGGTAATTATTTGAACTAAATAGTAATTACCACAGAAAAATCACGTAAGCGATGTGCTCGTTAGGCCTGTCCTTTGGCAGGCCTTCTGCCAAGTCTGTTTGTCCACGTGAAATCTGCATTCTGTGGAGCCAAGCAAACCTTCCGCTCCTCACAACCCTGCACCCCTCTGCACCGGCCGCCTTCTTGCTGGGAAAGCGGACAGAGGTGGTCAACTGCTCGCGGAGGTGCTCTCCCTACTCAGCAAGCACACGCTTACTTCCGAAATATGACATAATTTGAACTTGCTGCCAACCTGAACGGTGTCGCGCCGGCTGCTCCCTGCAGATGTAACCAGCCGGCACCAGGTCCTCACATCGCTGTCACTCATGAGTGTCGCCAGCCAAAACGCTAAGTGCATTTTAATACACATAAGACTTGATTTTTCCCACTTTCTGGCAACAAGATGCAGATCCCACAAAGTGTAAAGCTGTAGCAGTACAACACGATAGCAGATTCCTCACAAGACACCATCTACACTAAACTGTTATTGTTTCCTATCTTTTTTATGAAAGTGATTCTTTATAATCACATTATCCCAGATTAAATGTTACTCTGCTGGAAAAGATATTTATATTTTTCTTTGATTTGTAAATGCACAATGAAAATAGTGGAAAATCTGGCTGAAAAGAAGTAATTTTTGTTACCTTTAACAAACAAGCTCTTTCAAAATTAATCCCAAATTCACTTTCCAGGTTTTCCTTGAGTCAGAACACATCTGACACTGCACTTAGGAACTCCTAGCATCTGATAAAGACAACAATAAAACAACATTGTGCAACTAACCTGGCACCAGATCTCTAATAGGGCTCTGACCTCCCAATCTGTCGAGCTAATTAGGAAGCTCAGCCAACCACTCATGCTGCAGTCCCCCAGGACGTGTCATTCTCACCGTGCGACAGGGGAGTGTGCGGCGGTGTGAGACTCGAGGCGGGGTCTCTGTGTTGAACTCCAGCGCGTGTGAAGGCAGCCGCACAGCTCGCCCAGCACAGGCTGTCAGCCACACCTCCCCTGTCAAACGGGACGCCATCCCGAATCAGCAGCCCAAGAAAAGCAGTCATCAACATCCACTCGCATTTCATTTACAACTACTAACCTTATCCTCCCAAACAAGGAAGATAAGCCCTCTGAAGTTGTTGCAATTGGAAGTGGGATAAAAAGCTAAGAGCTGCAGGAGCTGAACATGATCACCCTGGTGCTGGGGGAGATGGAAATAGCACCTGCATGCCTTCTCCACCATCAGCTAGTCCTCGCACGGACCCACCTCAAGGATGGGTACTGCAGGGCGAGCACAGGAAAAGACGGTTTCTGTCCCACCTTCTCTCGCCAGCCCCAGGGATCATCTCATTCAAACTTAACACGGGCTGTCTCAGCCCCAGCTGGAGTGGGCTCCTGCACTGCTTGGAAACAGCAGTGAACAGGGACCAGACATCGAGAGGACAAAGGCTGAGGTGCCAGAGCACACACCCCCATCAAAGAACAGTGCCCCTAAGCCCCAGTGCTGCGTGCTGACGGGTCTGGACGCTGGAATGGCCGAAAGCGCGACGTATCCCACTGACGGGGGCTTTTCAGTGATGATGCAAAGAAGAAAGGATGTTGGGGTGATTCTCCTGGGGCACCTACAGGGAACTCTGCCTGCAACGTAACCAGGCAGCAGCCAAGAGGCTGTCAGAGCACCTCGGCAGGAAGAAACTTCCAGGCAACCAGTGCAAGAGCAGGCCACGGGCACAGAGCCCCTGGGAGGGCCGGGCAGCATGCGAGAAAGCAAAGAGGAGCTCTGGGTGAGCTCTCAGCTGGCATCAAACGCTGCTGTCATTCAATGCGCTTTGAAGCTACTGGCGTTCACTTCGTTTTTAATAGGAATGAGAAAAGCAATATTATTTTTACTCGCTATTGCTTTGTTAGACTTGCCATCTAACTTGATTCATGGTAATCCTTTTACTACAGCCATCTGCCAATTTGCAGTAAATTACTCAGACATGCTGAGTCTCTGTGGTTGCCCTAGAATGTTAATCTGAACCATCCAGGCCTGCTTTTCATCAGCCGGAGCAGTGTGTGCCCTTTCATTGTCACTGCTGCACACATTTCCCAAAATGGACCAAAATGAAGGACCTACTGTACAAGGCTTTTCTTCTGATGGATCAGGAATGCTTTATCCTTCCATTCACAGTGACTAAGCAGCCCCTGGGATACGCTGCTCGGATTTTTTAGCTGTATTTTTAGCCACAACTTATTGTACAGTTCCGTAAATAAGCATCCTTTTGCTTTAGTTATTTTCCCCACATCATTACAAAGCAAGATGGATTTCCAAAGCTCTGAAGACAAAAATGAATAGTGCTCTGGATATTTAACCTCCTTTACTGTTCAGGCAGTTCATGAAAGTGCGGATCCACTCCTTCAGCTGCAGCTGTTCAGGGCCTGCTGCGTCTCTGCCCTCTCCCTCATTTGGAGACACAGGTTATGGCTTACATCTCTAGAGAAGTGGGGAAGATTCTTTTTGTCATATTTTTGTCATCAGCAGTTCAAGACAGTTGGGAATTGCATGAACTTTCTAAAGAAAACAAAGAATTTTCTCCTGTCAAAACACAGCCATAACTTTGCTGCTGATTAAGCAGATGTCCTCCACGTGAAGGGAGTCTTCAGAGATGAAGTGGTAAGTGAAGACTGTCTTGTGTAGCAGGCGTGCCAAGAACAGGGCTGACATCTGGAGCCGAGCTGTGAGGGGCCAGCTTTGTTCTGCCAGCTAAGGATGGACAGCTATTACTCAATGATTAGGGCCTACGGAGCACATACCCACCTACCTTGTTCTAGTTTTCCGATTTAAACGGTTTTGGTATAGGGTGCTGCAAAACAGACTGGCTTCATTTAACCTTCAGGCAACACTGAAACTCCAGTGATATTTGAATAAATCCATCCTCAGCTCAGCTCCCACCCTGCATGCAGGAAGGCTCTGGGCATGCAAAAGGAGAAAAGCAGCTCTGGCCCAATACGAAGACAAACCGGATTCATTAGTTCTGTCTCTGTGTGTGCTTCTAATGGCGAGTGCCTTCCGTTCCAAGCAGTACCCAGAGATGCTCTCTGAGACTGGAGGGTGGGATTAATCCTCAGCAGCCTTCCACCGGCGTTGGTCAGGAGGTTGTATTCCCATTAAAGCCACTGCTAACCCCAGGCCAATCAAACTGAGCAGGCGAGAGTGCCCGAGCAGCCGAGCAGGGACGGTGCCCGCTCGAATTCGTGGGAGGGATTACTGACACATCCAGGCTGTCTAAGTGGCTTAGTATGCCCTAATGCCACACACCTCCCGCTACTTGGAACACTCCGAGACCCACACAGATGCACATTATGGGATTTTCGGCGTTAGAGGGGGAATAAAAGGAAACAGCAAATGCCTTCCAGCTGGCATACTGAAATGCTCTTCAACTTCCTCTGAGACATGTGCAGGTTAATTTCAGCTGATGACAGATCTCTCATCCAAATGCTGCTCCAGATAACGTGAAGTCATTATACTTACCCTGCAATGAACCTGAACAAGGGAACATTCTTAAAATCGTATGTGTGTATGACTGCAATCACAACCTGCTTAAACACATTCACTTCAAATACAGAAATATGGCACACGGTTTGACCCCACTGCCTTAAACTAATCACACACTTTCATAAAGAAAGCCTCACAAGCTAAGCACAGACAGAGTTAACACCGTAGAGACCACCTGGTTTAGGTCATGCTACCTACGTCCTGCTGCTTACAATAATAAGCAGCAATAGGCCGGCTGCTGAAGCTAAGTGCCAGATACAGACCATATGGCAACGGTGCAACATACAATTAAGAATAATACATACACAGAAAACTAATGTCCTACAACTGCCGGAGGCTCCCCACACATTGAAGTAGAAACAGAACAGACCCCATGGCCATTCAGTCCCTCAGATTCGTTTTCACAGTTCTGGTAGCGGACCAGCTCTGCAGCTGGACTGTGACATGTTGGTTACCCTGTGCACAGCGGAACCGCCGGTGCTTCGAGAGCCTGGTCTGATTCCTCAGGTTCACAAAAATCTTCTTCACCAACAAAGTCAGGACCAGAGACCTGCGTGGCACCTGAGAGGCCCTGCGCCAGGCAAGAGGTCCCGTCTCACATCGCAGGCACCGAGCAGCCCTGCCAGCAGGGACGTGACTCCAGCGCACAGGGGGGACGCCAGACTGGTAAGTCCGTACTGACCAAAGTCACTGGCAACTGAAGTGCACCGATATTAACCTAAGAAAACAAAGAAAATAGAACCAACTAGTTCTATTATTTATCAGCATTATTTTAAAAAGCTGTAAACTTTCCATAAGCATTTAAAATGAAACTTCTATAAAACAGAAAGGCTCCTGAGACAATCCCTCCAGGATAAAAAATACAGGGTAGAAATAAAGCGGGTCAATGAGAAAGAGGTGTTTTATTCATTTTTTGTTTTGTTCAGCACTTTTTACCTTTACACTGTTGCAAAATACTAAAGATGAAAAATTCTCCAGCTGTCAAGGGGAAAGAAAGGTACAGTTTATTAAATATGGGGTTAGATAAACATGTTCCTATACGAAAATAGGAAGTGCCTTGAAAACTAATGCTACACGGCCCGATGTAGCCAGGCATTATTTACGTGTGGTCTCTGCCAGCACACGCCTGTGCCATGAGGTACAAGGCAGCCGGTGACCGCTGGGCAGGCGAGGCCTGGCAGCGCAGCTGGCCGCCGGACCAGGGGGCTTTCTGTGCTGTCAGCACTGAAGCCAGCGAGTCAGACCGAGGAAAGCTGGTCCACGCGGTTTTTCTCTCTTCTGCGCTAGTCTGATGAACAGTTTCAGCTGTGTCAGCAGAGTTTTTCCAAGTTTGAAATGGATGCAAGAAGGGAACCTGCCATGTCATCCAGGAGGGAGAGTGAACGCAGGCTAGCATGGCAAAATCAAGAACCAGGCTGCTGGGAGACTCTGCTCGATCAGTTGAAAAAAGAATCCAGCAGCGCACGCCAACCCCAGAGGATGGAAGACCAACCCATGCTCATCAGCTAACGGGTCTGACTTGGATTCGCAATGTGAACTTCAGTCAGAAGTCAGAGCCTACAGACTGTGTCATAAACCACCACTTGTTTTTTTTTTTATAAACACATTACCCCATGAGAGACAAATACAAGTTTTTTCAGCAGTATGACTGGGGGATGATCCAAACTCCGAGGCAGATGCCCATAATCAACACCAGAATGGCTTTATTGCCCATAATTCATTAACACAAACACAAACTATGCAGATGAATGTCTTCGACTCTAACAGAAATGCATGTTTGCTACAGCCTTCATCTAACACACCTGAAGCCCAAATCAAGGAACCCTTGCCAAAACACTTTGCCCCTAAGCTCTGTGATTGCCCTGGGGAACCGGCGAGGGGACTCTGTGTCATTCCACACATACCTGCACTTGCCCAGTAGCATTTGTGGTAGTCCACGCAAACCAGCAAAGGTGACGCAGCCAAGCGACGGGGCACCACAGCAGAAGCATGGCAGTCTTCTATAGGCACGACAATTCTAGGAAACCTCTGCCTTTCTTTCACTGTTGTCCTCTCTTCTATGAGTCACTTTAGACCAGGAGCTCTTCAACACAGAAATGTGCCGTGTCCCTCAACGCAGCATCTCAGTCGCTGGGACGCAGCAACATTCAGGGCCTATGGGCACCTGCGGAACACAGATCAGTGAAAACAGCCAGCTCCTCCCCGGACAAGCTAATACCTGCTTGCTTCCATCTCCAAACAGGCTGCTGCACCACGATACATACACTGGTTGCAGGTGCAACTGCTGGAATATATCTCCTCTTTCAGAGCTTTCCTAATGAAAGGTTTTCTAGCTATGATGTTAACCTCTTCAGCTACTAACAGGCAGGATCAAAAACGATAATGTGCCAAACCAAAGGGCTACTGTAACTAGTTATGGTGAGGTATCCCACCAGAAAACTATGGAAAAGAACTAAAAATAGGAAACCTGAAAAATGTTATTACTTCCAAACTGA